CCCCTACCCCCTCCCCCTGGGCCTGGAGAGGGCGCCCCGCGGGTCGTTGGAAGGGTCTTTTTTTCGACTCCTGGGAGGGCTAAAAAACGACACCCCTCACGAGGATTCTGGCCCCGACGGGGGGAGGCAGAAAAATGCTCCCCTCTTCTTTGAAGCCAAAATCATTGATTTTACTACGGTTTTGGCCCCATTTTGGCCTTCTGAGGGGGCAGCGCTAATTAAAGCTTCCCTCTTCTTTCAAGCCAAAGTCATTGATTTTACTGAGGTTTTGGTCCCAGGGAGCAGCGCTAATTAAAGCTCCCCTCTTCTTTGATCGATTTCCTCCAAGATGGCCCCAAGAAGCGCCCAGGAGGCACCAAGAGGCCCCAAGATGGCCCCAAGAGGCCCCCAGGAGGCCCCCAAGAGGATCCCAAACTGCCCAAAGAGGCCCCCCCGAGGCACCCAAGACGCCGAAAAGCCCATCAGGACGACCCTCTACTCGCCTGGGCGTCGTTTCTGGACGGGCAGGAGGAGGGGCCCGAACGACTCACACCAGGACGAGGGGCCCGAACAACTCACACCACGAGAAGCCCGAACGACTCACACCAGGACGAAGAGCCCGAACGACTCACACCACGAAGAGCCCGAACGACTCACACCAGGAAGAAGGGCCCGAACGACTCACACCAGGACGAGAAGCCCGAACGACTCAAACCACGAGGAGCGCTTTCTCTCCCTCCTCCTCCGCCTCGTCCTTCTCCCGCTCCCACCACAAGGAGGATGTACAAGGAGGCGGGAGGAAGGAGGAACAGGGGAGATATGCGGGGGCAGGCGGAAACACGCCTGAAAAACACGACTGTCGGCATGCTTCGCTAGAATTGCTGTTTTGAGATGGGCTGGTGGGGATACGCGAAGCGTGAAGAATTTTCCTCCTCCTCTTTCTCGTCCTTCTCCTCTTCCTCCTCCTCCTCCTCCTCCTCCTGTCCGCTTGTCCTCCTTCTCCTCCTCCTCCTCCTCCTCCTCCTCCCCCAATGCAACGTGGACGGCATCCGACGGCAAAGGCGCCCCTCATCGCTTCTCATCGCTCCCCCGTGTCCGCAACGCCAGAGGACATCAGGACGATAACAGAGCCAATGTTAGCATTCAAAGCCCGCCACCCTCCGACACGAGGGTTCCCCTATCGCATAAGATGTCTCTTCCCCCGACTCGAACGGCCCCACAGCGGGATACCACGGGTAACAAGCCCCCACGATGGCACCAAAGCCGTCAAAAAGCTGCAAACACCTAGAAGCCCCATGAAAAAACAACAACACATCTATCGACAACTGCACGGCTCCCGACGCCGCAGCTCCACACTGCAAACGACCACTCGGACAGGCGACCACGGTGCGACATTATGGGCCGGCGGAATGAGCGAAGCGATTAAATAAGTTGAGGCCCCCGCCGGGGACATACGACGCGGGGGCGTTCATCCTCGACAGCGGTGAGTACGAACAGCCCCCAGGGCGTATCTCCGCATTCCCCTTCTGCTCTGAAGGGCCCAGTGACTCTGGGGCAGAGGAGCGCTCGCCTGCGATCCTCCTCCCTGGACCTCCGGAGTGCTGAACCAGAGCTACATTTAAGTCGGGCCTGTCCTCCTACAGGGGGATTTCCGACAAACCAAAAAGAATACCCCAAAAATACTCCAAAAAGGCAAACAACAACTAAAAAAATAGTCCCCAGACTATGTCTGGACTATTTTTGGATTATGTTTGGGGTATTTTTTGTTTTTCGTCGAAATCCCCCTGTAGGGGGACAGGCCCGACATAAAGCTACAAGTGCCTGTGTTTCGCCGTTGTCGACCTCGGGGGGGGGCCCTCGCCGGGCCGTGGCGCCGTCAAACAATGAAACCGCTCGGGGTGACAAAAGCCGGGCCCGGGGCAAGGGAGCGGGACGCCCTGGGCAAAATCTGCGCTCAGAGCAGGAGTGCATCGGGTCTCTGGGTGCATCTCCGCCTCCCCCTCCCCTGAGCTCCCTGATATAGTCGTCGCCCGCATCCTCTTCGCCCCTCCTCTCCCATACTCCTCCTCCTCCTCCTCCTCCTCCTCCTCCTCCTCCTCCTCCTCCGCCTCATCATCATCATCCTCATCCTCACCCTCACCCTCATCATCATCATCATCATCATCATCATCATCATCATCATCATCATCATCATCATCATCATCATCATCATCATCATCATCATCATCATCATCATCCTCATCCTCATCCTCATCCTCATCATCATCATCATCATCATCATCATCATCATCATCATTATCATCATGATCATGATCATGATCATGATCATGATCATGATCATGATCATCATCATCATCATCATCATCATCATCAACATCAGCACAATCGGCATCATCAACATAACCATCAACATCATCACCACCATCATCATCGACATCATCGTCACCAGCATCATCATACCATCATTTATCACCATCATCAGCATCACCAACATCCGCATCATCATCATCATCATCATCATCATCATCATCATCATCATCATCATCATCATAAACAGCATCATCATCATCAGCATCAGCATCATCATAATCATCATCATCATCACCATCACCATCATCATCATCATAATCATCATCATCATCATCATCATCATCATCATCATCGTCATCCTCGTCATCATCGTCGTTATCGTCATCCTCATCACCCGCATCATCATCATCATCATCATCATCATCATCATCATCGTCATCATCATCATCATCATCATCATCATCATCATCACCCCCTATCCTCCCCATTCGGCTCCTCCATCCTCCTCCTCCGCCTCCTCCTTCCCCTCCTTCTCCTACTCCGTTCTCATCCCTCTGCCTCCCCGACCTCCTCCTCCACGGCATCATCCCCCCCCCTCCTCCCTCCTCCGCCAGGGCTCAAGCATCGATTCGGAACGTCTCCGAAAGCATCTCAGTTTGTTTCGCGATGGCGCTGTGAATCGAATATTTCGCCGATCGTCATCCTCATAATCCTCATCATCCTCAGCATCAGCATCAGCATCAGCATCAGCATCATCATCATCAGCATCAGCATCATCATCATCATCATCATCATCATCATTATCATCATCATCATTATCATCATCTTCATCATCAGATGTGCCCCTCCTCCTCCTCCTCCTCATCCTCCTCTTCCTTGGCAAATGTTCACCGTGGTGACCTTCCTTCCGCCTGCTCCTCAGTGGGGGATCTGGTGCACAAAGAAGGAGCGCGCCACCTCCATGATGTCATGAACACTCGCCCAAGGACCATCGCTGGAAAGACTGGGCGAGGAAGGCGAATGAACGAAAGAACGCTCCACGCTGGCCGAGGCCGACCCGCAAAGGGTGAAGTGCTAGGGCACTGGCCCTCACAAGTGCTGCATATGACGAACTCGTCTTGCAGGTTTTGCCAGTGACCCGAAACTGAGCTCCAAGAATCGCGAAAGCCTTTGGTTTCAAGAACCCTTTGAAGATCTTCAGCCCATCGACGCCAGAGTCGCCCTTGGGACAGGGAGCAATCATTCGACAGGCGAGGTGTCCAGAGTTCGACCGACTGCGCTGCTGCGTTGAGGCCGTCAGGACCCGAGCACCTCGGGCAGACCTCACGGGACGATGTGGCAATAGGAGTTACATGCCATCGCTCGGACTTCCATTCCCCATGAATGCTGCTGGCTTCCTGCGTGTTTCTTGTTTCCGCAGGGTTGTCCAAGATGCCGCCAGATGGTCCAATAGGTCTGGCGCTGCCCTCGCCGAACAAACAAATGCACACGTCAAAACGATGCCACGGAGTCATGAGCGAGAGCACGGCGCTGCTTCAGGATCCGGCAGGCCCCAGGCCAAAGAACGACAGCAGAATGAGGCCCGGGCGGCAAGGAATCGCTCGATTAGCAAAATGCCTCATCATCTGCTGAAGCTATAGAAAAATAGCAAAAACAACAAAAACGTCGGAGGTCCGCGCGGATTTCTCGGATCGGCGCTGGGCCCCGCCTCCCTGGCGCGGCGCGGAGCGCGCCGGAGGCAGCGCCAGGGGCGCCGCCAGGGGAGCCCGGCGTCGATCCAAGAAGTCCGCGTGGAGCTCGGACAAAAGTGTATGCCTCTGGAGTCGGTTCTTCTTATTATGCTTAACATTCCTATTAGTATGTTTCTTATTATTCTTATTCTTCTTAAGTTTAACAGTCCTCTTCTTCTCCTTCTTCCAGAAGCACAGCACGCCTATGGCTTGCTCCTGTCATGCGACAGCGTGCACCGCGGGCGCTGGCATCGGACACCGCGAAGTACGTTCCGCGTCGAGGTCTCGGCGCTATCCGACAGCAGAGATCGTTCACTGTCGGCCCGGTCCGGGCCGCCAGTGCCCCTCGACCTGGAGCGCCCGCGGTGGCGACGACGCCGCGCCGACGCGGCGCGCACGCGTACGTCAAGGAGCTCGCGCACGGCTCAACGCGGCGCGTGGTGCCTGCGAGCAGCATCGGGCCTGCACGGGCGCGCCCAAGACACAGCAGGCAGAGAGCGGGGAGCTCTGCCGCCCTCCGTGCGAAGTTCGTGCGAGGCCCAGCAGGAAGTCAGTCTGGGCAAGCCGCAGTCACAAGGTAGGCCCCAGGCGACTGCCAGCGCCTCCACTCAGCGAAGCCCACTGCGACCTGGGTGCAGAGCAACACAAAGGCAGGTGAAAACAAAACTGGGTCGAGATAAATCTCCAGGAGCAAGCGGATCCAAAAGACGTATCGGGCGCCGCGGCCGTTCCAGAGGGCTAACAGAGCGCTCCCAGAGCGTTCCAGACCGCCCTGGAACGATGTACCATTGGCCATGGACCGTGTGTCTTCATCTCAGGCGTGCCTGACCGACAAGCGAATCTCCCGTTCATATGTTTGCTCTTAGGGTGCTGACAGCATGTGAGGATGCAATGTATGCGTTTGCTCAACAACTGACTGGTCCACACTGCCTTCTAACTACTTCGCAAGAAATCCAGATGCGGTTCGCACCCCAGGCGCACCCAGACTGTCGGGCAGGGGGTGGTTGTCACAGTCGTGGTCGTCAGAGTCGAGGTGGACGTCGTGGTCCTCAAAGGATGCCGCGTCCAACAACTCAAAGAGATCAGATTCCGCTCTTCAGGCTATGCTGCATGCCTCCAACTCTCCTGGACGCCCCTGGAACCCGGCCAAAGAGACTCTGGAGGAGTACAGGCAGCAGCTCCGTCGTGAGTCCTCCCTATAACCATCATCCCCACCCCTTCCCTAGCCTTCTACCCCTCGACAATTACACGACATGAATACTACTCTCCGCCCGAACGTAGGCCACTTCTCTGGATCCCACAGGTCTCGCAGGTCTCGCAGGGACCACAAGTCCCAAAGGTCGGACCTACAGGACCCACAAGTGTCGCAGGTCGCCCCACAACTCCCACCGGTCCAACCGGTCTGACAGGTTCCACACGTCCCACAAGTCCCACATGTGTCGCAAGTCTCGCATGCCCCACAAGTCCAACAGGCCAATCATGTCCCGCAAGTCCCGCAGGTCTCAGAGGTGCCGCATGTCTCACAGAAGTCCAGCGGGTCCCACAGGTCCCGCAGGTCACGCCTGTGCCACGAACCCAGAAGTCTCGCAGGTCTCAAGCCCCACAATTCCCACAATTCCCACAGGTCCCACAGGTGTCGCAGGTCTCACAGGCCCCACAGGCCACGGAAGTCCTGCGGGTCGCACAGGTGCGACAAGTTACCCTTTTTCCGACTGCGCATAACACGATAGGGGTCTTTTGTGAAATTCCAGGTCGGCTATGACACGCGTCCGCGGATAGAGCAAATATCGGCACAATGGGAAGGGATGGCAGTGAGGAAAGTGTCAAATACGGTCCGAACGCACCCAACTTGCCTTCCTCCCCTCCCCTCTCCTCCCCCCTGATCCGTCCCTCATCGCCGCTTTCCCTCCCCAGCCTCTCTGCATGCCCGTCCCCGACCATCTTCTCATCTCCTCCCCTCCTCCTCTACATTCCCTGCCCCCTGCTCTCTCTCCCCCCGTCCATCTGCCCCTTCTCATCCCTACCTCTCCCTCACGAACTTCCCCTCTGGCTCCTCTTCTCCCCCTCTCCCTACCCCCTACCCCCTCCGCCCCTTTCGCCAACTCTTCCGATGACTACCCCGAGACGGCGAGAGCGGCGCAAAGTCTGGGTCCTGGTGGTGGTTGTAGCAGTCGCCGTCGTGGTTGTCGCCGTCGTGGTTGTATTAGTCGCCGTCGTCGTCCTGCCCGGGACAGCAAGGGACAGCAAGGGGAAGCAAGGACATGTGCAAAAATGCACACAACGTCCGAGTCATCATTCGTATCGACATCGACATGGACCACAGAGTCTGCATGGCATCATCGTAGCGCTCAGAGGCTCAACTGAGCTGCGCACAATTCCGGCAGTTCGCCGAGCCACCCCGGCAGGATGAATCGAACCGATGCGCATACAGCAGGCCATGACCGAGCAATTGGCAGATGACCCCTGTGGGTGCCAGGCCAGATCCAGCGTGCGCACAGATCTGCAATCATGCTGCAGACGCCAAATGGAGCCTTCCTGTGTTCAGCTCTCTCTGCGAGAGAGAAAACGGCTGTTCCGAGGCCAGCTCGGTGGCTGGAGGGGGCGCCTGTGCGCAGGCGACGGAGGTCCCAGCGGCGGGCGGACTCACGGGGCCGAGAGCCCGTCGGAGAGCTGCTGTTTGCCTTTTGCCTTGGAGAGGAGCCGGAGTGCCCGAACGTTTGGCACAACCTGGCAGCAGGTCGGGCATGTCTTCCTACAGGCGGATGCTGGGGCGATGTTTGGCAAAACCCCCAAAAAACAGGAAATGCCCCCAAACACAATCAAACAAATAATCCAAAAATAGTCCCCTGACTATTTTTCGACTATTTTGGAATACTCCTCCTGTAGAGGGACACGCCCGACTGAAATCTGGCACCCCATCCGATGAATCGAGAGCGGGCGGCGGATTCACTGGCCGTGCCTGGGGATGTGTCGTGGGCCCCCCTGAGTTTCTGAGAAGCCCCGCCGCTCCACTGAGAGGGCCTTCCCCTTCTCCGGTTCCTACCCCTCCTCGCTCGCCGCCGACCTGTACCGCCGTCGCCAAGATCTGGGGAACTCAACAGGTACCGATACCGCTCCTCCCCAGACCTCTCCTGGGGTGCGTTCCGACGAGGATTTCGAAGCGAATCAAGCGGTGGCGACGAGGGCCGCCCAGGAGGCCCCTAAAGTGGGGGAACAAAAAATGACATAAACATAAAAACTCGGAGGTCCGCGCGGATTTCTCGGATCGGCGCTGGGGCCCCCCGGCGGCGCCTCCAGCGCCGCGCGCCAGGGAGGGGGGTCCAGCTCCGATCCGAGAAATCTGCGCGGACCTCCGAGTTTTTATATTTATGTCACTTTCTGTTCCCCTAAAGAAGGGAACCAGTCCATCCCTGACGTAGCAACGCGCCCAAAATACGTCGGGACCTGGGAATCCTGGAATACCTGCTTTCGACGACCGGCGTGTGCGCATTCGACCATGGACCCTCTGTTGCCCATCCGCCCCGGGAGGTCTTTGGCGGTCCTCGGCGGTCTTCCGGCGGTCTTCGGCGGTTTCCCGCGGTCTTCGGCGTTTTCCCGCGGTCTTCGGCGATCTTCGGCGTGAAAGCTGGACGCTTGCACCTGGCAAGGGATCCATGACCGAACATCCAAACAGGCTACTTTGAGACCCATCGTTGCGCCCCTGCTGGGGCCCTCTAGGGCCTCCTGGGGGGCGAGCATGCCTGTGTGGCTGTGTGGCCGTCCTGAGGCGATGCTCGAAGGCTAGTGGGCCGTCTTGACCGCTCTTGCGAACGAAAAGGCGATGGCTGGGAAAACTCGTGCATGCAACAATTGAAGGCTTCGGTCGGGTTGGGGCCCAAATCGACCCAAGAGCCGCCAGTGAACGCTCCAGGACTTGTCCTGGGGCTACATATTGGCACGCTGGAGATTTGTACCCCGAACTGTGCTTCGAGACCTCGGAGAGTGACGCGGAATGGGCCAAGATGGCCACTATGACGGGCCAAGAGGGTCACAATGAGGGCCACGAGGGTTCCACGGCAAGCCAATCCCGAAACGGCCCACGCGGCTCTCAAAATGCATTATGAGGCCCCCATACCGCCCAAGGGGACCACAAGAAGACTCCCAAGAGGCACCCACTATTCAAAATCCGATTGAAACCTCCCCCATCACGGTCTTCAGAACGCCCCACGACAGCTTGATAGAGCTCCTGGATCGCCCAAATGAGGGACACACAGGACCCCGAATGGGCAGGGCCCCAAGACGTCCGTAGATCGTGGATGAGCCGAGGAGGGCCCGAAAACGTCCTGCATCCCAGGAATGGGGAAACCAGAAAATACGATACTGCTACTTCCGAGACCTCTCCCAGTGTGCGTTCTGACCAGGATGTCGAAGCGAATCCAGCAGTGGCGACGAGAGTCTCCGAGGAGGCCCAAAAAGGGGAAAACGATAAAAAGGGTAGATGTGTGGATACAGTAGGGGTCAGACCACAAGAAATCATCCACAAGGAACCCAACCCTGAGACCCCAGGACGTCCATTGATTTTTGACGTGGGAACGTCACGCTTTCAATAGCAAAACCATCGAACCGCAAGAAACCCTGAGGGCCCTTGGAAACAAGCAGGGTGATTTCTTGGCATGGGTCTCCACAGTGCCTTTTCCTCCTCGGAGAGAAGATTCATGGAGGGGGCGAAGTATGCCCCCAGAAGGCCCCAAGACCCCCAAGGGGAGCCCGCGAGCCAGCCCCAGGACAGCCCCCGGGAAAAACTCCGAAACGGCCCGGCGGGGGCCCAGGACCGACCAAGGGAACCCCAGGAGGACCGCCCGCAAGGTGCCTCACACCGCGAGCGACGAACAGATCCATATCCATGCCCTCGCGGTCCGGACTCCGAGGCGCGATCCCATGGGTACGCGACCCCATGGATACGTTCCCAGCGGGGCATCCGCGCAAAGCCGCGCCGCATCCACGGGGTCGCGGCCGAGGAGTCCCGACCGCGATCCCGTGGATATGGGCATGTTTCCCGCCCCTGATCACGAGGGCCCCAAAAAAGGCAGCGAACGGCCCTTCACTCTGGACGTGCCACCCAGCCGTTCCGACAACACGGACAATCACCGTTGTAGCCCCAGCCGAACGCATTTCACATCGATGATCGGCCACAGGTGTTTTGCGAGGACGAGCAGGGGGCGATAGTCACTTGACGCGGGCGCCTTCGATGATACGCACTCCGGGTGAACAGGAGCACAATGACGATACCGCCTCACAGCAGCATGTGCGAGGATTGTGCAATAAAAGTATATACATACACACCCCGATATACACATATACACATATGCATACATACATACATACATGTATGTATGCATACACCCTTCCCCATCACTGCTTCCTTACCTTTTCGCGCCGGGCTGGCACGCGCATGCGGGTGCGCTCCCTGTCCGAGCGCCCGCGCGGCCAGAGGAAAGGAGTGGCCGGGGGAGAGGGGCGCAAACACCCCCTTCCCAGGGCTGGGAACCAATGCGATTGGCCCCAGGGCAGCTTCTCAAGCCACCACCTCGGCAAGCGTGTCCCCCGCCCTACGGCAGGCGCAGGGCCCGCGCACCGCCCAAGACCACCTTCCCACCCCCCGCCTACGGCAGGGAGCGCCCCTCCCCAGCCCAGGCAAAGACCCATGGGTGCACCACATGGGGGGAGCAAGAATGAGCAAAAGTTAGTGGGGCCCCAGGACACACAAATACATACACCCCACATTTTCCCATATTTTCTGGGTTTCTGTCGTCCCCCCAACTTCCCATCTGTTCCCATATGTTCTGGGGAATCGACGATTAATTGTGTGTTTTTTTTCTCCTCCTGCAGAAATCCAACCCTTTGGCCCTCCAGCCTAATAGGGCTGCCCTCTGCAAGGGCAGAGGACTCCGGCCCCACGAGGCCGCGCGGCCAGGTCTACCAACGACCTGCTTGTTGCGCCTCCTCGATGCTCAATTATACCAGGTGTACTGCTCCTTCCTGGATGTAGATGTTGCGCGTTCTCTCACTGCAAACCATTGCAGTTCGCCAGAGAATCTGCGAGGCGCTGCCGTGTAGATGATGTATTTTGGTTGCTTCCCCCGGCAGGCCACGGCCAAACAAGCGACCACATGCGGGTCTGCTACAGTGACCTGTTCCGTCATCTTCTTCATGTTGCTACCTTTCGGTGTTGGTAGAGAGGTCATTGCTTTTGTCCACGCCAGGGAAGAAACAAATCTATCGCACTTGAAAAAACTGCTTCCATCGTCCTCAGCATGCACAGGAAACCGGCGAGCGAACAGGATAGCGCGAAGGTCGGGGCGAGCGTAGGCGCATGCTATACCAGCGAAGGCGATCACAAAACGTCTCGGCAGCGGGAAAGCCCGCTCCCGTACCAACGTATGCTCCCAATTACGCAAATACTGCCTGGACGTTGCCAGCAGGCCTCGGAGTCGAGGCACCAAACGATGCAGGCCAGAGGCGACCGCCCGAGCGTACCCATGACAGTCCCCATCCAGCCATTAGTGGTTTATGTACTCAACGAGCTCCAGATCGAGCTCTTCAGTCGTAGTCGGCACAGGTTTCTGGAGCACCTCCAGATACTGGAAAATCGTGCAAGTTGGGTCCGGTCTCTCACTCGCGTCTTGATGTCGATGCCCACGTACTTCAGGTGGCTCCCCAGGGGCGGTCTCCGCCGCCGAACGTTGCTGCCCGCCCCCACCGTCATCAGCGTGCAGGCGGCTCCAGCTGTCCGCCTCCATCCACCGAGAGATAGTCCATAAAGGGAAGCACATAGCCAGCCGTCGACAGGGACGGTTGAGACGCTTGCTAGAGGAGCGCCCTTTTGCTAGCACTCCGGCAGTAACACGGCTGTCAACGATGTGTAGGTACCAATACCCATGGGAATATGCAGAGCGAAACTTCTCGCGGAAGTAGTTGTGCACGCTAGTGATTTCGAAAATGTTGATCTGCTGTGTAGCGCGCCACTTGTAGGCCATCGTGCGCGCCCAGCGCCAGCAGAAAGCTGGGTAAGGGATGTCCTGCCTAGACTCGGCGCAGACCCCCGTGTTCAAACGCACGTCTGATCCCCTGTGGCCCACGAGCCTTAGAAGTCCTCGCAAATGAATCTCCTCTCCCCCAGGCCGCATCGTTCCCATGAGGCTTGAGATCCGCTGGACAGCCAGGAGGGCGATGTTCGAGGTTGGCAGTCGCCGCGCTGATTCAAGCAGCTCCTGCGCAAGCCATTGGGGCCGCGCGCTCGGTTTAAGGGCCAGCGCCCCAGCCTGCGCCGCCAGGAGCTCTTCTGTGACCACCTCGGAGTAGTCGCGGAACAGGATGTTCAAGCAATCTCTGTAAGCCATGGGGTCGTCGGCAGACGCGATCGGGGCTCTTCGCGCTGCTTCCCACCCCTTGTTCGGGGCATGGCGCCCCGCGTGGAACTTTCCAGCGTTGTGGAAGAGGCCGACAGTCGTCGCGACAGAAGCGCCATGGTGGCGAGCCCACGCCACCGCGAAATACACCCCCTGGAAACTCAGAAGGCGACCGGCCACAGGATGTTCCCAGATCCAACTCCAGCGAGGGCGCGCGACGACCGCGACCCCGCCACTCCTGGCCCTCCAGCTCAACCTGCCTAAAACGGCGCGGACTATCTTCCTGGACCTCGATGGCCACCTATGTTCCCAGAACACGGCCTCGCGGTCGACCTCCTGGGCACTGAGCGCCCCCCCGCGGGGCTGAGCAGCGCCGGGGCACGGCGGCCGCGCCTTGTCGAGAGGACGCGAAACCTCGACCCCAGCGGGCCGTGGCCCAAGTGGGGGGCGCCCGGGCCCCGGAGAGACCTCCTGCAGAGGCAGGGGGTCGCAGGTCCCCGAGCGCGCAGCGATTCTCACGCCGGCGCGCGGCCACGCAATCGCACCCCGCAGACGAGCGCGCCGCAACCCGCAAGGGGCTCTGTCTGGGCAGGCGGGCGCGAAGGCGGCACCGCAGGCGTCGCAGAAGATGCTCGCCGCGGCCGCCCAGCCAGACTCCTCGACGAGATCAGGGAAGCGGCCGCAGATGGCGTCTGAGCTCTTCTGGCCCATGGCCTACGCAAAAGTGGAAGCCCCGCCGGCGGCGCCGCCCTCCCCCGACGCGCCCGCGCAGCCCAACCCTTCCGTCGAAGGGGCCCTCAGATTCGAATGCGCGAGGGGGAGGAGCATCGCCATGAACAGATTCTCATCCAAAACTGCCTCCGGCGGCTGCGCCCGCCCCCGCTCCCGCTCCAACTGGAGCGCCTCCGAATGGCTGTCCTGGGACGCCGCGAAGAGCGCCCGCTTGAACTGGGCGGCAGACCTGGCGAGGCCGATGGAGTGCGAGAGAGCCACCTGCGACCAAGCGGGCATCGAGGCCAAGCGAGCTCCCTTCCACATGAATGCCTGCGTATTTTCTGGCCCCAGGCTGCGCCATCCTCGCTCGCAGAGGACGGCCCCCCCGAGCACCCCCGAGTCGAGGCTCTGACCAAGGCGTTTCCCGTCATCGAATGGGAACGCCGGGCCGCGCGCGAACCTCCGCGAATCGAGAAGCTTCGCGGGGCTCGGATCTTCCCATGACGTCCGCGGCGGCCCCCTGGACCTTCTGGGGGCAGTCGAAGCCGTCCAAGCAACGGAGGGAGCAGGTGGGACATCGTGAGAAAACCTCGCGTTTCCTGACCTCAGTGCTCGGGCCCACGCCCACCTGGGCGAAGACGAGCTCACGGATGACCGCCTGCATGAGATCGACGGCACCGACCCACCCCAACGGAACCGTAATAATGCTGACGCACATCATCATGCTCGGACCCCACCTGCGACGGAAGCGGGGGCGGGCCTCGAGAAGCAAGAATTAACCTCGCCACGACCAAAGGCATCCTGAAAATGTTGAAGCACCCCTCCTGGTCCTGCCCGTTGCCCACCAAGACCCCCCCCGCCTTCAAATCCAGAGTTGCATTCTGGCCCCGGCACGGCAGCGCGTCGCTGGCTCCGCGGAGGCGCCTCGTGCAAGAGTTGATGGGCCACAGCGTGGAGATGAACCCGGAGAGCACGGTGGCCACGCCGTTCACCACTCTGGGCTCGCCGCGGCCCATGGCGCCAGCGAGAACGCGTCGCCCAGCTCCGTCGGTGCAGATCTCTTCCTCCGGGCAGGGGGCGAGGATGCCCCTGTCGAGGCCGCCCTGCGCGATCGCGTAGCTACCGCTGCGCGTCTGACGCGTGGGCCTTCGATTGCGGAGCGGTCGAAGGCCATTCGCCCTCGGTCCTCAAGCGCCACTCGGGGCCTCGAAGATCTTCCCACAGCTCGCCACGGGGGAGGGGGATGACGGGGGCGACCGCGGCCATCCCTTCAGCGGGCCACGCCGGAAGACCCGCTCTGCTCCTAGGGACCTGAACCCGGGCGCGACGACCCCCTGGCAGTCCACCTTGCAGGTGCGAAGTACCACCTTCGGACGCGTCGCAACGGCGCGGCGGCCCGTCCCAAGAGCGAAATGCTCCGCGGCCTCGAAGAGGTGCGTGGCGGTTTCCTGCCGGGCCTTGCAAAGCCTTTTCCCCGGCCGCCCCCCCATCTCGACCTCGCCCCAACCAGCGGGGGTCAAGAGATTCAAAGCGATGGTCATCAGCTCCACGACGACAGCAATAGAGCTGCTGCACTCCCCCCGCTCCTCTGTGGCAGCACAACTCATAGTGGGGTTGCGCTTCTGGCCCACGAGGTCCGCTGCGTGCTCGGCCGCGAGGCCGGGGTTGATTGGGGAGGGATCCCGCGACCCTCCCAGGGGCGAGGTGTCCGAATGGTGCCAGACTGGCGCATCGAACAGACCGTTGGCATACCGCCCCAGCCGAGACGGCAGACCTGGGAAGTAGTCGCGGCGCTCTGGGGGCCCTCTCCGAGAGCCCGTTGCCAAGCGCCCACGCCAGCCGGCGCCTCGAAGACGCCGTCGCGAGGGCGGTTCTTTCCCAGTTCTTGCCCAGTCCCCGTCCTTGTCGTTCTTCGATGTATTGTCGCCAGCGTCTCCCTTGTTATTCCCCATGTCCTTGTCCTTGCCCGTGCATTCGTGCCGAGGCAGGGCGCCCTGACCTTTACCGCTGGAGGCTTCGCTCCAGCCTTTTGCGCTCGAGCTGCCTCTGGAGATCTTTTGTTGCAGTTCGAGCTCCCGGGCAGCCATGCGCTCCATGTCCAGGCTCATGAGGGTGCTCGCGTCTTGGGCGACCAGCTGGCGGAACTGCGCCTTCTGCCAAGACCCCATCGGTCAATGCCTTCTCGCAGGCCATGACCCTCTGGCCGATGATGTCCGCGGCCTCCGCTGTGCTGGACTTCGCTGGGCAGTCCAAGGCGAAGCACAACGTCTTCGTCTCCCTGGTTGTCAGGATCGGCATCGTGGAATAGGTCGTCTTGAGCACGCGGACGCAGTAGGACTTTGCAGCAGCTGGGGTCGGGGCCGCATCGCCCCTCGAGTTCGCCCCCCCGTCGCGCGAGACTTGACCCCCCATGCCCTGGAGGGCCGGGGCGCCCAGACGCCCCGGGTGGTCCCTGGCGAAAGCCAGAAGCCGCTGATGGCCCGAGCGGCTCGTCGACGCGGAGGCCCAGGGAAACTCGACGAGACCGCCGAGCTCGCACAACTGGATGCCGAATTCCTCGGAAAGCGCCGGTTCCGTCGGCCCCGCCGCCTTCGCCGCCTTGTGGGCCTTCTGTGCGAACGAGACCTGCTTCGCACCCTGCGGCTCCGGCTCAGCAGCTTCGCGCGCCCCCCGTCGTCCTCTTCTGGTGGCTCCGCCACCCCAGGTGGCCACGCGGGCGGTTTCGAGGGGACGTTCGGCAACGAGGCCTCCAGCTCGAAAGGCTCCCGGCGCTTCCGCTTGGGAGGCGCAAGCCTCTTCCGATCTCCATATCCTCCTCGTTCTCCCGGTGTCTGCCTGGCACGGGCCGTTGCAGCCCCTGCCCGTCCCCTCAAGTCCTCAGCGAGGTCACGGAGGTCCTGCTGCAGCGGCGTATCCTTCTCAGCTTTCCCGGAGAGCCCATCGAAGAGCTGACACGCCTGGGGAGGGCCCTGGGCTGGATGCTCAGCTGCCCCGCCGTCCGCCGCTGAGCCGTCGGTGAAAATGTTGAGACAAAGTTGGACCTGGTTCTTTGGGACGCCCTTGCTCGCCCACTTCAGGCGGCCGCTGGTGAGGTCCCCCACGGAGACGGGCCTCCAACAGCCAATGTGGACCACATCCTTTTTGCGGCCGCCAGCCCACTTGGACTTGCAATCGCCGACGGCGCAAGAACAGAGATGACATCACCCAGGGTTAGGGCACCCTTCGTCAGCAAGCCATTTCGAGTACTCGATGTCCGAGCACGCCACGACCTGAAAGCGAAGCCAGGTGTCACCCTTCACCGTCGCCGTGGATTCGAGCACCTCCGCGAGGTAGGTGCCCTGGTCCTCGAAGGAATCGTCGTACGCGACGACCTCGAGGAGCGGGTGGACCCCGAACTCGTACGAGGACGTGTAGTCCGGGCTCCAAGTCTTGTCGACCGAGGGGGCCACGGCAGCCACGAGGCCTCCGCCCTGCCCTCGAGGGGCGTAGTGCGACACCGTCAACGGGCGACGCAAGAGAGGAGGAGACCCAGTAGGGTGGAGGCTTGCGCACGCACATCGAAACTCTCGACCCTGAAGATGGCTATGTGGAGGTATGGGGAGAAAGGTGTAATGTGGTGCCTACCCTGCGGTCCGGGTACCGTTGCATATATGTGTATGTAATGTGTTTATGCACATATTTATATATATATGTATATCTATCTATCTATATGTATATATATGTGTGTATATGCATATGTATATACATACATACATTGGCACGTGAATAGGGCAAGTACAAAACACAACGCACTGCACACCAACATCGGAAAATCAGGCAACGATAACAAACTTGGATCGGGCTGTCATGGTGGATGTACGGGTGGTCGTGGTGGTTGTCGTTGTACTCGTCAGCGGCTCTGGCCGTGACAACCACCTCCACACGCTCGAAAGAGGAGAGAGTCATAGAACCATAGAACACTGCCATCTAAAGGACAAATCGCATGCAGACGACACGACCGCATACCAGAGAAAGCTGGCGAAAAATCGCTCGACACGCGATAGTTGACTTGCCTCCAGCACGCAGCGTCGACCCTGAGTTGAAGTTCACGCTTGAAATCACAGCCTCCACCTGCGTCGCCCAGTCAGGGCACCGAAACAACGCAGCTGCTCACGAGCCGCTCCGCGGGCGTAAGACTTACAGAGAATTTCGCGACCGCACTGGCGTGCGCACAGGAAGTTCTCTCCATTTCTCTCCCTCTCTCGTTCTATTTTTTTGTTGTTTCTCTCTGTCTGCCTGTCTGTATTTCTCTCGTTCTCTCTTATGTTTTTTGTTTTGTTCTCTCTCTCTCTCTCTCTCTTTTCCCATTCTATACATTAAACTATGCGATTTCCGGTCCATGCATGTCCACCACCGTGCCTCGAGGCACGACATGGAATACTCCCCAGGCTTCTGGGGCACTCAAACAGTGTTTGAGTTTAGGGCCTGTTGTTTTTTTTTTGCCCCGAACCCTGCTTACACTTAGGGAGTCTTACTTCTTGTCTAAAGAATTGAGCATGTCTGCCGCTCTGGCGATTGTGTGGCCGCCGTCGCAGCCCCGTCGACGCCTCGTCACAACCCGTCGTCTGGGGTTGCCTGCCGCTCTGGCGGCTATGTGGCCGCCGTCGCCGCCCCGTCACCGCCTTGTCGCCGCCGGTCGTCTGGGTCTGTCTGCCGCTCTGGCGGTTATGTGGCCGCCGTCGCCGCCCCATCGCCGCCCGTCGTCTGGGTCGTGCCTGCCGGTGGCAGCCGTTGCCGCCCCGACTCTCATTTTTACAAACGAAGTGGACCTACCACCCCCTGGGGATGAGCAGTTTACATGTGAGTATATCTGCTCCATCGTTCGCTCGAAAGACAAACTCGTACCATCCCAGTCAGGCCAGTATCGAAGCCTCACTATCCTCTGCCAAGACATTTGCGCGAACACTCATTCATCACAAATCATCAACTTTGTAGAACCCTTTTGCCAACAACCAAGACGAAGTGCACACACGCGCGCGTCGCCACGAGCGCAGATCCGAATCCCGCAAAAACCTGCAATGCCGTGGGCATTTCAAATCGAATGCCCTGGACACATAGAAAAAACACACGACTATGCAATATTAGTTTTCGGAGACAAGTGTGCGCGCGCTCTAATGAAGTCTCCGGAAAACAATTGGTTCTTCAAAATTTTCATCACATGCGACCATCTCGGCTCCTCGCGCGCGCAAGCCGGAATCATTCGAACGCCCTTGCGCGCGTGCTGTAACGGCACGATCCCTGTCAAATTCGCCACCGTGCCTCTGGCACGAAATGGGAGTACTGTACTGCTGCTGCTGCTGCAGCAAAAATTGTAAGTCCCAAGGGCCTGGACCAACCGTTTCCCGGGTGTTCCCGGGGTCCGCCGGAATCACCTGCGCCGGCCTGCCCCGCCCAGGACCCCCAAACGAGCCCAGATGGCTCCAAGCGGCCCCCAACATGGTCAAAGAGAGCCCCAAGTCGCCCCAAAATCGTTCCAAGACGCCCAAGATGGCACCACGATGGCCCGTGAGGCCTCGAGGACGCCGCCAGATGGCCACCAAGAGGCCCCCCAGAGGGCCTCCAAGAGGTAAAAATCAAAGATTGCCTTGGGTGTTGAAGTGATTGGGCCGCGTTCGTCTGCTCGGCTTTCTGACGCTCCAGGATGGCCCAAGAGGCTCCCAAAACCACCCCGAGATGGCCCAAGGGGCTTCCAAACAGGCCCTCAGACGGCCAAACAGCGCCCCCAAACGGCCCAAAACGCGCCCGAAACGGCCCATGACGGTCCCAAGCCGGCCGCAACAAAAGCCCAAGAGACGGAAAGCGAACCGAAAACTCAAGGCTCCCGCCCCAAGAAGACCCCAGGATTCGGTTGAGCTCTACGCCGAGCGCCCCCAAAGCCTGGCACCAGGCTAGACGCACTGGCAACGAAGGGAAGTGCCAATCCATTCAAAACCACATGACAGAGATCTCTGACCGACTGCAAGAAACACAAGCTGCGAGCCACTCACGACGCGGAGCCTCGCTTCCACCTCCGCGCGCCACTGCACCTCGGAGCGGCCGCCGCCCTGGGCCCGCCGTTCAGGCCCAAGGTCTTCGCAGAAAAAAAAGTGGTTGAAACATTGCATCAACGAGACCCGCTTCTGCCAGCTGCAATGAAGGCGTCGATCCTTGCAGAGCGCGAACCGGCCTTTCTCGCGAGCGCGCGAGGGCGGGGCTCTGCAGACTTACCCCAGCCCACAGCGAGAGCAAATAAAGGGAACTGGGCCGTCACTGACGCATAGCGCAATGGCGCGACGTTGCAGCGCGACCTGCCGCGGCGCGCGCAACTGGGAGGCCCCCGATCAGGAACCTGAGCGCGGCGCGTTAGCGCGAGTGCCCCCCAGACAAACGGCGCATCTCCAGATGCCGCCGCAGGCGTGCCAGTCGTGAGCCTATCTCTCCACGGCCAGAGGCGATCGCCCCGCTAGGCCGACAGCCGACAGGTCGAGCTCGGGCCAAAGCGGTGGATGGTGAGCAGCACGCTCGAACGCGGCCCGATCAAACTCCACGGGCTCATCGGCGCGAGCCAAGGCGCCCACGTCAGACGGATGAAGCGCGCAGGCGCGCTTAGCGCAAGCGTCAGCGAGCTGATTACCCTGACTTCCCCAGCGTTCGGCGGCGTCGGCGCCGCCCTCGTCGGCGGCGCGATGCGCGGTGACCTTCGCGCACTCAACAAGAAATCAAGCACCCCGCCCGTGAACCTGCGCAACAGCGCCATGGTAGACACGCCCCCCCCAGACAGCTGCCCAGTTTTAGGCTGGCAAGCCTGTCTCGCGACGTTAAGACTGTCTGAGAAAACGAAGCAACTCCCGAAGACAGCGCGCAGGCGCACGTCCAGCAAGCAAACGCCGCCGACGCACACGATTGATCATAAGGGGCCCAAAATGGAGCGACATCGGAAATCGAATCGCCAGATTCATCGACCTGGGCAACAACGCATCCAGCCCTCGAAAGCCCACGAACAGGACGGCGAAAACAGCTGCCGTCCACACACAGAAAACCCCGCAGCTCGGTGCCAAGGACGCGTCCCGCAGCGCGCAAAACCTGCGGTCGGTGACGCGCAGGAGCGGACCACTTCCCAACAACCCAGTAAGGGGGCGACGGCGCGAGCCAGCGGGACGGCGGGAAGCCCCCGAAGAAAATGCGAGGGCAACGCTGGGGCACTCCATGTCCTTAGCTGCCAGAGCTGCACTAGTGAGTTCATAATCAGATCTGAGTGCCGAGACAAGCGCGCGGGCGCACTCCTACAACCGATGGAAAATGGCGCCAAGATTTCCGCAGAGGAGAAAGCTTCCGTGGCAAAGGCTCGAACGTGGGCTTTCGCGACTCCGACGGGCCTCTCGAACGACGTCGCAAAAAAAACGGGGGGGCACCCCTCGCTTCTCGGCGGAAGCTCCGTCGAGCACCCCGCGATAGCCATCGCAGACGAGCAACGTCACCGAGGCGGGGGGTGGGGGGGGTCCGAGCGACATCGCGATGCCCCCGTCATCGCGCAAAGCAATGAAACTGCCCGCTCGCCGCAGGCCAGACGAGGCCCGCGCGCAGAGCAAACGCCCGGCAAGAAACCAGCCACCAAGAGCGCGGAGCCGTAAGGAAAACAAGCCCCCAAACTTGCGGGGGGGGCGGCCAGGGGCAGGGGCCTCGCAGAGGGGGGCATGGGGGGGGGAGGGGCAGCCTAGAACAGCGGCTCTCAAACTTGGCAGCGCACACATGGACCGCGGCGCCAGGCGAGGCGCCAGGCGAGGAAAGGGAAGCCGCCGAGGTAGGAGTAGCGGCCGTCGGCTTGTCTGCAGCATGCCCAGCAGCAGGGGCGGCGTCGGCAGCTGCAGCGGCTGGCGCCCCTCCAGACTGCGCGCCTCCATCCTCATTCGTGCGTCTCTTCGTGAGAGCCACGCGGGTCGCCAGTGCCTGATTTTCCGCTTTGAGATCGTCGGCCTTGGACATGGCTTCGGCAAGCAGCTGCTTGGCCATCGGCACAATGCTGCCCTCGAGTTGCCCCATGCGCGCCGAGGAGGCCTCCTAGTGCTCGGCAGGCAGCTCCCTCCCTGACGATATTGGTGAAGGACCCGCTGGGGTCGACGTCGAAGGCAGCCGAGCACCGAGATTCATCAAAAAGGTCTTCCATCAAAAGTTTGGCACCTGAAACACCTGCGTCATATGGAGGTGCGGGCAATTCCTGGTTGACCTTGCGCACGAGGTGTTCATGCCCCGCCTCAACCTGCACCAATCCAGGACGAATTTGGGCCACTGCTTGTCTAGCCGATGCCAACTGAGCCTCGAGTTGTTCGCACTTGGCGTATGCGGATCCCAAACGACGCTCAGCACCTTGAGCCTTCTGACGCGTTTCGGCAAGGCTGCGGCGACACAGCGGCAAGCTGCTGCGCCGCTCGAAGCTCCCATCTCCCTACAGAGGCCAGCAAACTGAGAGTGCTCACCCGCCGTGAGAGGAGCCTGCTGAGACGCGTCGCCTGCTGGGACTTGAGTGGTCTTCGTCCGCCGTTAGCTGTCGCCTTGCCCCCTTTGCCCCCAGCAGTGCCGAAGAGGGCCAAGAGTGCACGACGGGGACCCGCCTGAAAAGGATGACGGTTCTCCTTTGAGCGCACCACAATCTGTGCAAACGTAGAACCAGGCCTCCTTCTTTCTGCACCCGCGCGCGTCGCAGGAACATTTCGGCCGAGGGCCCCCCGGACCGGCAAGCAGAGGGCCCACGAGGACCTTGCAGCGGCAGGGGCGCGCGGCGGCCCATGGCGTTGGCTTTGACGCCCGGGGGCCGCGAGGGCAGCACCGACACCACGCGCACCTTCCCCTGCCTCGTCGGACCAGGAAACCTGCTTGACCCATGGGCGCCTGCCCTTGCCGCCACCCTTGCTGTCGCCGCGCCACGCCATGTTTGCACGCAGGACGCGATAAAAAATGCTCCCACAGGAGCGAACAAGAAACGAGAAGGCCACACTGGCCCACAACAGCAATGGCCGTTCTGAAGTAGCTTGCTGCTGCAAGCGCAGGACACGAGGCTCCCAAAAAGCCCCAAGAGGCCCCCAAGAAACCCAAAGCAAGCCCCAAGAGGCCCCAAAACGACCCCGAAGAAGTTCTAAAACTGCCTCCAAGAAGCCCCCGAGGGGCCCCCCACGAGTTCCCCAAAAACGTGCATAAGCTTTAGATTCACAACCCTGGCACGGTGGCGGGATGTGCCGAGGGCCATTCGATACTACACTGCGGGCCCGTTGAATCGCCCGCCCGTTGATCGCACGCGCACGTCGAAATTCTTTCAAAATCTCACCGACGCGTGGACGCCATCATCGTCATCGGCGTGATCATCTGACCGACGCGAGGCCAGGGGAAAGGATGAAGGAGGAGCGGAGGAGAGGAGAGGGTCAGAAGCAATTCGCGGGATCTTTTGGTCGTCGCCATGGTGCCCACACTCAAAGCGCACATGGTGCATGCATCTCCTGCACATGGCGCTCTTGGGCGTCATTGGAGCGCTATTGGCCGATATGTGAGCGCTGTTCGGCGCGGGTGGACACTATCGGAAACTATTGGGCGATCGGCGATGTTCGCCGATCGACCTTCAATCCAAGCGACCGTGAATTACAACTGCATCGACCTTGCAAACGTGATACGCCAGAGTTTCGCATGGACATGTGTCAATGTGAAACCTCGAAACGGCGAGTTTAAAACGAAGTACATTTCCACTGGACGTGTTGCAGTCTTCATTCCTGGGCCCAAAAGACGCACGTCACTTCGAAATCCAGAGCGAAATTCTTCCGGACAATCCAGGCCCTTCCCAGTCATACCGACAGAAATCCGCTCAACAATGATGGCGCCATGATAAGTGAGAGGCGAGACGGGAAAGGGGAAGAAACTCGAACTGCTTCCGACACGGCCAGTGGAGAAACGCCCACAACAAGCTCAAGGTGATGAGCGCGCAACAGCACCAGGGAATCCTCCCTCTCCCAGGCGCGCTCTCGCAGGCTTTTGCGCAGGGCTGTTATCAAATCGATGACAAGGGGGACGAGGACGAGGACGGCAACGTTGAGAGAGACATAGACAGACCGAGGAAAGCGAGGCGAAGATGGAGCAGAAGAGGAGAGGGAACGCGCAGGATGGAAGCCAAGAAGAACGCGGAAAGAAGGAGGATGAAGGCGGAAGACGGGCATGGAGCGGAGAGAACGTATCCAAGCAAGTGTTGCATGAATGGTCCTTATCTTCTGCGTGCAATGAACAACACATGGTCCTGGAGAATCTGCTCTGGGGTCCCCGAACCTCTGGGGTAGCTCGGGACTTCGAACATCTCATGGGGGCGGATCCCGCACTCGTATCGCCCACTGGACACATGGTGTTGCTTGCACCTATCCTTCCATCGCATGTTCCTCCGACAGTAACTTTCCCGTGGGAGGCCACACTTTCTCGCGACGAGCTGGAAACACACAGGGTCCTGCCCATCCCATCCTCCACCCCCAGTCATTCCCACACGAGACTCTGCGGGTCAGACCCCGCCCCCTTGCTCAGCGCAGTAAACAGAGAACTCTCAACATCCAGTCCTTCACTGGCGCTTTCCCCCACTGGTGCTCATGCAGGACAGTATGACCGCGATGGCGATGCATGACGATGCATGATGACGATGCACGACGATGCATGATGACGATGGCGATGACGATGCGTGATGACGATGCAAGGTGGCGGCCGCGAGGACGATGCATGGTGACGATGGCCACGCTCATGCCTATCACAACGACCAGGCGAGGGCAGTCTGATGTCCTCGCAGGAGGGGAAACTGGCCATCGCTCGGACGTCCATTCCCTGTGTTTGTTTCGGTTTCGCGCGTGTTTTTTTTCGCCAAATGATCAAGGATGCGCCTCGATGGTCTTCGCCCGAGCGATGCCAGGGTAAATTGCAGGTGACCTGAAAGCAACGCGCCAGACCTGGTGGGCCGTGGTCCATCCGTCCAGAGCCGCCAGCCTGGAGAGGAGGAGGGGGAGGAGGAGGAGCGAGGAGGAGCGAGGATGAGCGAGGAGGAGCGAGGAGGAGGAAGAGGAGGACGAGGAGGAGGAGGAGGAGGAGGAGGAGGAGGAGGAAAGGAGGAGGAAGAGGGGCGAGGAGGAGGAGGAGGAGGAGGAGGAGAGCGATCCAGGTGTCCAGGGTCGCCAGCCTGGAGGGGAAGGTGGGAGGAGGGAGAAGGGAGGGAGCGAGCACGCACGCACCGTCGGCCCCACGGACCAGCCCCACAAGGGAAGCGCGAACCCGGGTGGGGGCACCTGGAGGAGCGAGGCCACGGCACCGACGAAGGCCGCGTGAGCATTGGTAAAGACGGGTCGAGAGAGAGAGAGAGATGAGAGAGAGGGGGGAAAGAGAGAGAGAGAGAGAGAGAGAGACAGAGAAACAAACAAAGAAAGAGAGAGGCAGAGAGACAGACAGGAAGAGAAAGATAAAGAGAAATAACGATAGAAACATAGAGGGGCATACAGAGAGAGGGGGGGGGGAAAGACAAACTATATATATATAGAGAGAGATATGAAGAGAAAACGATAGAAGAAAGAGAGAGAGAGAGAGAGAGAGAGACACGAATAAGTATATCCGTACAGAGGGCACAAAGAGACAGGAGAAAAAGGACTGAGATACGGAGAGGCGCAGAGACAGGCATGAAAAGGCAGAGAGAGAGAGAGAAAGAGAGAGAGGGAGAAAGAGAGACACATAAGCAGAAAGAGCGATAGAGAGAAAGAGAGAGAAGGCGACATTGGAAGAGAGAAGACGGAGGGCACCTCGCGGTGGCGTGCAGAGAGGGGGAAAAGGCAGTAGGCGGCGAGGGGGACGGAGGACGGGCATAAGACGAAGGCAGACTCGAAACAAAATCTGGCCGATACAAATTGGAAATCTCTGAGAACCGGCGGGTTGGGAATCTGTATCGGGAGCCGCGGCCGTTTCAGAGCGTTCGAGAGCGTTCCGGAACGCTCTGGAACTGATTTATCCCGCCGAGCTCTGGACAACGAGCTCGGCCACATCGGCGAGTCCGAAAGGGCAGGGGGGCGGCGGTGCTTCGTCGTAGACGACTTCGGTAATTTCTCTGCGCTCCGCGCTGATTTTTGGGGATCGGCGCTGGAAGCCCCTCCCTGGGGCGCGGAGCGCGCCAGGGGCGGCGCCAGAGGCGTCTTCAGGGGGGCCCCAGCGCGGACCCAAGAAATCCGCGCGGAGCGCCAAAAGGTATGTTTATGGCGTGTTTTTTCGAGCCCTGGAGGCGAACAGGGCGTCCCTTGGCTGAACACGCTCGAAACTCCGAGGCTGTATGCTCGTGGCGAGCCTTCCTCCTTCGAGAGAAGAGCCCCCCCCCCGCCCCCCGCTCCAGCAGCAGCCCCACCACCTGCGGTGCAAAGAGAGGAGGGGGCTGGCACAGAGAGGGGGACGCATCGACCCGCAATCGACGGATACATCGCCGATAGATCGGCGATAGGCCCGCGATCGTGATCCCCACGGTCCTGGGCGGGGTGGGGCCCTCGAGCCCCTACAGTGGAGGCCCGACCATGAGAGATCATCCACAAGAAACCCAACCCTGAGACCTCAGGGTTTCCATCGGCTTTGGGCGTGGAAGCGGCGCGCCTTCCATGGCAAAGCCATCGAAACCCAGAAAGCCAGGGCACTCCACTGTAGGCCCAAGAGCGTGATCCCCACACTCCTGGGCGGGGTGGGGCCAGCAAGCCCCCTCACGACGATGAGTGGGCGAATCCGGGTCGACGCAGTCCCCCCTCACCGCGGTAGGTCTTTGGAACCTTCCCCCCCATTGGTTGGAAACCGATTACTTGCTCGACGCCTTGTTGACGGACTGGGGTTCCACAAGTAGTGGAAATTCAATTTCTCCGCGGCGGAAGAGGAGAAGGGAGAGGGGGAGGGGGGAGGACGAGGAGTAGGAGGAGGAGCGCGAGGAGGATGAATTCGCTGGAATTCGGAGGAGGAGCGAAGAGGAGGAGGAAGAGGAGGAATAATAATAATAATAATAATAATAATAATAATAATAATAAGAAGGAGAAGAAGAAGAAGATCGATATTCGAGGATTTCCACCACAAACAGATGAAACAGTACCAGCAAAACGAAACTAGGCCAAACGCCTAGGCCAGAACAAAGGCGATCGACACTCCTCGGCAGCCTGGGCTTCGCGAGCCTGCAGGCGGGCCCGGAGGGCGTCCATCCCAGGGGTGCTTATAAACCCTGCGGAATAGCTGTTTGACGAGGTCCCGCCCGACTCGACCGCCCACCCAATCGCCCCCTTAATCAAGCGCAGATCCGCCTCCGACGCAAGAGCAACCTTTTCATGGCGCCTGCGGTGCTGCGGATGCTGCCCACTCTGGAGCCGCCGAAACTGATAGGCCTTCCGGGCCGAGATGGCGCGGTCACACCGCTTGACCAATAAAGGTCCTATGCGCTCTTCCGCAAAAGCGCCACACTGAACGCAGTAGATTGGAGGGCGCGATCGCTTCGTCCACGCGGCCTGCAGGCTGTGACGGTGGACGCTCTCGCTGCCACGCAGCTGACGGAGGACTGGAGGAGGACCAGGGCACTGCAGTAAAGCCAGGTCTGGCCCAGCCTTGGCTAGACGAAGACACCGAGCACACCTCACCTTACCCTCGCCCACCGGAGACCACACATGCCACGACGCCTCATGGGTGGTGCTCGGCGTCTTACTTCGCTTGAAAGTGGGGAGCGGGAACAGTGGCAACCCATTGGCCACCAGATTGGCAACAGCCCGTAGCCTCTTGGCCATCAGGCTCATGCGCTCGCTGCTCGACGGGGAACCGTAGGGATGGAGCCGGAGAGCGTCTTTAGCAAGAAGATCGGCATCCTTATTGCCCAGGGCGATCCTCTGGTCCCTCGGTGCCAGTGTCCGAATTATCTCATTCGACCTATGCGCGGGCGTGTGCATCACCTGACCTACGTGATCATGTCCCTGGCCCTCATGTGCACCGCGCCGAAGCCCAGCGAAAACCTGAGCGTGCGCAAGCTGGGCCAAGGGCGGCTTGTTGCACAAACGAGCCGCACCTAGACAATCAGAAAATGGTCGCGCGGGTCCGGCCTGGACAAGAGAGAGGACAGCGAGGACGAGGTGCTCCGCGGCGGGGGCAGTTTGAAGGAGGCTATCCCAAACAACCCCTTGGAGCCGACATCTGACTTGGTACGCGTCGGCAGGCTCAAGGAAAACAGCAACATACGCCGCGCGGTCGAGCCTGTGAAATTCACATCGCGTGGCACTGCCATCCACGCATACATCAAAATCGGCACTGAGGTCTTGGAAAGCCTCCCGAGAAATAGACATCCCCTGGGCATCTCGGAAGTCCGGCCATCAAGCATCCGAGGGGGGCGGAAACTCGCTATCGTCTGGCTGGAAAACAACGAGCCTAGACCAGAGCAGATCGGAGGGTCCCGAGCGTGCCGCGTGTATGATTTCCTCTGGCACGGACTCGGCGCGCTGGGGCTCACACGCTGCGTAGTACCAGAGGCGGTGGTGCACGGAGTCGGGTTGACCACACAATGGGCACATGCCCGTGGACTCAAAATTATGCTTGACGAGGCGGTCGTCCGTCCACACCCCACCTGAAAAGACAGAGCCAATGAGATGCTTTTGGAGAGGATTAAATCTTTTGGAGCGGAGGCACTTGGCAACCACATCAGCAGAGACTTCACGACCCGCCCCTCCATCCAGCGAGCTCGCAAAGTTACGGCCACGCTGTCGAATTACGCTGGCGTGCAGGAGTTTGGCAAGCATGGCGGGTGACGTGTGGAAGAGGTCGATCTCGACATGCATGTCATCCCTGAACGTCTTGAAGTCCGTGCAAGACCAGCCCAAACGTGACAGACACAACATAGCTCGGTGTATGGGGCCAGCAGAACGCTTCCACTGAGCCTGATCCAAGATAGGGAACTGGGCGGTCACAGCGTCCCACGCCCTCTGCAGGAATATCCAAGAGAGTACGGTAGTGCCGGGCTCGACCAGGGACCGCCATAAAGCCTTCGCGTACTGCAGCATGGGCGCAACCGAGGCCTGCCACGCAGGATCGCCATACAGTAGCATCCTCCCGTCCAAAGAACCGCCCCGATACGGTATCAAGGCACGGCGTAGGGTGAGTAGTTCACGGGATGTGAGGCCAATAATCATGCTGCCGAACGTGGCCGCCGGCCGGACACCTGAGATGTAGATCTTATGCAGCTTCGGTTTGCCCACGGTGAGACGACGACGCAGAGCCCGCAGATAAGCAATCCGTCTTTTCATGTCCTTGAACCTCTTACGCATCCGAGCCGTGGACCCACGGGCCGCGCGGGGTCTGCCTGGGGCAAGGTCCGCGCCGAGTGCCACAATGGAAGCATCGGCACGCGACTTCACGCCCAGCTTCTGCAGTCGGCGGTCGAGAGTGCGCACCACCTGTGGACAAGAACCAAAAACCATTGCCTTGTCCTCCGCCAAATCGACCTTGAGTTCGGTGCTGTAGACGCCAATGAGGTCCGAGGCAGCCTTCACAAGGTTCGCGACAATAATGTGTTTCGGACCCGTGGCGGTAACAACATAATCGAGGATTTCGAGGAGAAGGAGGAGGAGGAGGAGGAGGAGCATGAGGAGGAGGAGGAGGAGGAGGAGGAAGAGGAGGAGGAGGAGGGGCGGAGGAGCTGATCCCCCGCCGACAGGGAGAACAGAGGTGGGAGGAGCCCCTCAAAACCCCAAAAGCTCCCCGCGGTGATTGCCAGTCCCCCCCCCCTTGCCGTCGCACCCGCACCACCTCGGCGCGGTGGTGGGCACCACGTCGAAGTGCCCCGCGCCCGCGCCCACAAACCTCGCGCCGTGTGGGGGGGCCGGCGGCGCCGCCGCCCGGAAGGGCGCGCGACCCGAGGGTGCCTTCCTTGTGGCGGTCGGCTGGCCGTCCCTCCCCCGACGGCCGCCGCCCAGGAAAAGGGCGGGAAGAGCCACGCGCGCGCGCCGACGCGGCGGACGGGGGGGAGGGCCAGGCGACGAAGGCGCCACACATCCGAGGAGGGAACGGTACCCATACCTCTGCCCTTCCCTCGTTTTCCCCTGTTGGGGCCTCCTGTGGGAGGCCCTCGTCGCCCCCCCCTTGGACTTTTGCCTCGAGGTCCTGGTCAAAGCGCACCCCGGGAGAGGTCTGGGGAGCAGCGGCATCGACGGGGGAAGGCAATGAGATGAAGGCGCCATGGTGAACGTTTTTTATTCTAGACGAGCGCGTTACACGACTTGCAAAAGGACTTGCTCGCAAACGGCCAGGATCCGCCGCGGGGGATCTACGATGAACCTTATCGAAGCAGACACATGTTGTTTTCCAGACATTTGCGAATAGGCACTTTGCGATCAGTGGAAAGCGTTTCGACATTGGGCGGATGGGGGGGGGGGAGGGGGGGGGTCTGGCTCCAGTCCTCTGCTCAGGGCGACGGTTTGCAACAGTGCGTCCCAAGGGGGGAGACTCCACCTGCTCGAAGCGGGCGCCGAAAACGACCGAGATCCACTCCTGGGGGGGTGGAGGGGGATGCGATAGCCCGCGCCGATCGGCAAGACGATGGATCAGAGAAAACGATCGCACGGGGGGACAATCGCTAACATAAACACAAAAGCTCGGAGGTCTGCGCGGGAGCTTCGCATCGGCGTTGGGGGGCGTGCTGGCGCGCTCCGCGCGACAGGGCCCGGCGCCGGCCCGAGAAATCTCAGCACGGGCCTGGGAACGTCTACGTTGACCCCACTGGTCCCGTCATCGAGACAAGGGCAAGACGATGAAGGCGCTGTAGACTCAAAACTAGAATTAAGTCGGGCCTGTCCCCTTACAGGTGGATTGTCGACGATGTATTTATTTCTATATATTTATATATATATACACATACATAACGGCCCCCACAATCATCCAATAATAATGAAAAGTGAGCCAAACAATCTACAACTGGTGTGGGGACTATTTCCCTACCTAGGCTCTGCCTAGAAGGGTTCTTACTGTCTTTGTGAAAATGGCGTGGCGCTGAGATCGAAGATACCTTTTTGAGCATTAAGGGCTACGGAGACCGTTAACACTCCCTTCGGCGATGCGGTCGGAGCCCGACTGCCAGCGCCGACTCTTCGGTCTCCGCCTCTCTTCCGATCCTGAAAACACAGCCTCAGACTGTCGGCTGGCTGCGCCACGGTCTTTCCGCGGCAGCCCGCGAAAGCTCAGCCACGCGGTCCCGGGTGCCGTCTGGAAACCGACCAGCTTTGGCTGAAAATGGTAGGTTTTCTTCCTTCCACACCGGCGCGCGAAGAGGCGGATTCGAGCACCTGAGAGGGACCTGGCTCAAGCCCTGTTCTAGTATCCGAACGGCCCGCCGCGCAAGCCGAGGGCGAGGCCGAACTTAGTCATCTTCTCGACGGACAGCTCCTTCGTCATCAGGCCCGCCGGGTTCTCGTGAGTGGATACTCTGTGGATGCGTAGCCGCCCTTCCTTCGCCCAGTCTTGGATGGCCAACATCTTCAACTCCACGTGCTTCATTTTCCCAGGACATCGCTTCCGGCGCACCGCGAGTACGCTCTGGAACCCCGTCATCAGGAGGGGGTTCACGCCGTCGTACTTCCACTCCTTCAGAAGCTGGGCTGCACCGAGGGTCTCGATCGCCGTGGAGCCGATGGCGTAGAGCTCGGCTTCCGCCGACGAGAGCGCCGGCGTCTTCCGGGTCCCTCATACATGGCCATGCCGACGCGCGACTTGTGCACCTTTGCGCCGGAGTAGTCACGGTCGTCGTCGTCGTCGCTCTGCTTCTTGGCGTTCGCCGTCTCAGGCAAGGCGCTGTACTTCGCATTCTCCAGCCCCAGCAACTCAGCCATGTCCGTGATCAACAGAGGGTTGCCCTGCAGTGCGAAGCCCCCCTCAGTCTTCCTGAGGCTCATGGCCAGCAATCCCCCCTCGTCGCCTCGCCGAGGAAGGCCTCGACCTGACTTCGGCCGCGACAAGGAAGTCGTCGATGTGCCCCCCTGCCTTCTGGTCGACCTCGCCCTCGACCCTGTAGAAACACCCGCCCGTCGTACTGCGACTGCTCCAGGTGCATCTCATCCGTCAGGACGCCGCTGCCGTGGGTCTCCCAAGCGTCGGGTGAAACCTTCCAGCCGGGGAAGGCCGACACTGCCTCCCAGACCACATCTGGCCCTAGCCCTGCCTCTGGCGGGGGCTCGATGTACACCTTTTCCTGGTTGCCATCGGAGTCGAGACGCGCCTGGTAGAACGCGCCGCTGCAATCCCCTATAGCTGCAACATGGCCCTTCTTGGCCGCGTCCACCAGCATCATCTTGAGGTGCAGCGTTGCTGGAGCCGCCGAGAGGAAGTCCTCGTTGCCTTTGAGGGTCTGTTCGTAGCCTCTCGTAGTCCACCTGGCTTTCAGCGCCCCGTCGTCATGTTGGCCTTCGACCCACCTCCCCGAGAGGGGGGCGGTCGTGGCTTCGGACCTCTTGACCTCCTTGATATTGCCAGGCACCTTCGTCAGCTTTTCAAAAAGCTTCATTCTGGCCTCCACGAAAGTGTTCGGCTCGCGGTCGTCCTCGCACGTCTCACGGAGCACGGCCACTCGCCGTCTCTGAGTGCGCGGTGCTTCCTCGTCACCTGCGTCACCGCGCCGCGCTGGAGCCGCCTGTGGGTCTCCCAGCCTCGCACGCGCCCACGCGTCGCGCTCGGCCGCCGACTGCGGCTGCGAGGGGGTCGGTGGAATCGCCGCCGCTGCCGCTGCCTGCCCAGGGAAGGTGGCGGCCTGGTAGCGCTGCAAGCTGGTCGGCGCCCCGCGGCAACTAACCACTTTGGGCTGAAAATGGTAAGTTTTTCCTTTTCCATCAACTGAGGCTTGTCCCGCAGCCACACGCGCCCTCTTGGCTCGCTCGTGAGGCTCCAGGGCTGCGCCGACCACGTCCATGGGCGCGCCTCCTGCACTGGGCGCGGGTGCGGCATGCGGAACAGCCGCCGTCTCTGGGGCGTCCGGCCCGGGCGCTGGGGCCGACTGCCCTGGCGCCGCTGGCGCCGCCTGCGCCGCCGCCGGGCCTGGCGCTCGTCTAGGTGCCACTCCTGGAAGAGGCTGTAGCAGTCAAGGTCCAATCAGGATGGGCCCCTGGTCGCTCTGGACCTTGGGCGGTCGGCCCCTGGCCACTGGCGTAGCGTTCCAGGGGCCCCACTTCATGGCCTCCAGCATCGCCCGGTCCCAGCGCTTGCTCTCGACTCGCCTGCGCAGTGCTCGGCTCCTCGCCAGGCCGTTCGGGGCCCCGATGAGGTGCTCGTCCGTCTTGCTACCCCTTCCTCGCCAGACTCCTTCCAGCCACGTCGTTTCGAGCTTATTGATGACGGCCCCTGGGCGGCGGCACGCCACCGTCTCGCCCGCCAGGAGTATCGGGTTCTGGTAGGGGGCCCCCCTGATCTTCTCGTAGGCCGCCATGCCCGAAACCTGCCACTTGTGGAACCTCGTGTACTGCCAGGCGGCGTGCCTCGGGAACCACGTCAGTAGCGGCGAGTCTGGCAGGATGGCCATGCCCGTGTTCGTCTCGATCTGGATCCTTTAGGCCTTCATATGGTTCGGGATGCTGGGCACCATGCGTTCTGCTCCTCCGTTACTCTGATGGCTGCGCCGCTGGGGCTGCTGTAAAATGACCTCGCACGGCGGCGACTCCATGGTCGATACCTTCGCCTTTACGGCTCTCATTACAGCCTCTGCCGCCGGCGCTCCATCAGACTGGATGATGACCTTCGCGTGGCCCAGCTCTGCTAGCCAGGGCACGATGGAAAGAACGACGAAGACGTCTTCCTTCCCCTTGACCAGCACGGCCGACGCCCACGCGGCTCCCGTAGACGTGTCCACGCCCACCATGAACTCGAAATTCGGGACATCACTGCCTCCGCTGCCCGCCTCCGCGCAGTCGAACTGGATGGCCGGCATCGGCGTCTGGACGGCGGTCCGGTGGCAAGCGTCTCTGCCTTTCGCCTTGACGCAGATCTCGCACCACGGCATCGGCGGGTCGTGCAGTAGGTTATGCATCTCGATCTCCTCCTTGCTCGGCTCCTTCGGCCCTGGTAAAGTCTGGACTGGGACCACCTCCTGCTCGACGTAGTCCACTCCTGCCGGTGGCGCATGTGCTCCTGTAGGCTGAAGATCTCCCTGCACCGCTCGGTCAGCTCGGAGTGGCGCCCCACGGAAACCGACCACTTTTGACTGAAAATGGTCGGTTTTGCCGTGCTGTGGTGCCGGCTCGTCTCCCTGCGGCGCCGGGGCCGCCCGGCCCGCGGGCGCGCTGCCCGAGCTGCCGCCCGCCGAGGGCGGCGCCACTACGCCTGGCTTCTCCACCCAGCACTAGAGCGCGCAGTGGTTCTTCGCTCTGTTCACGTTCACCTCGCCAGCCGCTTCGTGGTATAAGGTATATCCGTTCATGTTGAACTTGGCGTTCCTGCTCGAGTCGTAGCCGCAGAACTCGCCGACGCTCAGGATGGGCGTCTTCACGTCGCACACCTGGGAAGGGATGATGATGTTCTTGCCGTCATTCAGCTCCAGCTTGACAGAGCGCTCGCCGTAGTGTATGATATTGTGGCCGACGGCTGCCTCGAAATTCGGGTCGGCGCTGCGCTGTATCCCACGCCGATAGAAGTCCTCTCGGCCGCAGACGTGCTCGTCGGCACAGTTATCCACAAGGACTGACATAGGAAGCCATGGACCAACGTTGTATCCAACGTAGTTCACCTGTTTCGATCGGGCCGTGATGGCAAAGATGTAGCTGGTTTCGTAATCGTCCTCGTGGTCGCGGTGCGTGAGCTTCGCCGCGTAGCCCCGGGCTTGGCCCGCCGAAGTCGACGGTGCCCCTGCTGACGAGGCGTCCGCTGCTGCCTTCCAAGCGATCCAAGGCTCCTGGCTCGTCAGCTCGTTGATGCCCTTCTTCGTGCTTCGTTTGCCCTTGCCCTTGGAGTCCTGCGCTTGCCCTTCGGGTTGCGCCAGCAATCGGCCGCCAAGTGGCCCTTCTTGCGGCATATGAACCGCTCCGCGTCCTTGATCCAATCGGCCGTCATGTTGATCGTGTTGCCGTTATTGTCGTCTTTGCCTTTACCTCGGCCTCGTTTGTCCTTGCATGTGGCGTCCTTGCCCTTCCTCGTCAGCGCGTCGACCTCCATGGCGTTTGGGTCTCGCTCTCGTCGCGGCCTCGGCGGAACTGGCACGCCGGCCAAACACTGCGCATTGCTCTGCATTATTTGTAGCGTCACCATGGCCATCTGCTCGTAGGTGTCCAAGTTCTGCATCTGTGGAAGCGTCTTCACCGACTTGGCGGCCTTGTCTATGATCAGCGCCTTCTTCATGGACGCGTTGAACAGGTCGCCCGAAATAGTCTCCCACTTGCGCACCGTCTGCTCCCACTCGCCCAAGGCCGTCTCGTAGTCCGGGAGGTCGGATGGAAACTGGGGCGTCGCTAAGATCGAGCTCATCAAGCTCTGTTCTCTGGGCGCCGTGTTCGGTTCGTACCTTTCGGTCAGTGCTCGCCAAGCCCCAGCTCCATTTGCCTCACGATTTCCACGTAATACGGCCAGTGCCGGCCTTTTGACGCTCATGACCAAGATGTGGAACAGCTTCTTCGCCGCCGCCACTCCTCCAGCACCCAGCAGTTGCTGGATGTTGTCTAATGTGATGTCTGTTTGTGCTGCGCTCTCCGCCGCCTCGATCAGGTGGGTCATCTCGGAAGCCTGCACCGCCGCGTAGCTCCGCATAACGAAGCTCCACTCTGTCCATTCATCTTCCTTGCCGCTGAAGGTCGGCGGCCTCGCCAACCTCAGCTGGTCGTCCGCCTCTGCCATCTTTGCACTAGAGGCGCCAGTGCCCGAGCAGACACCTGGCGAAGGGATGCGTTACTGGAACTAAAATGTGTCGTGGATCTGACAGCGCTCCGCTGCCATGAAAATGGCGTGGCGCTGATATCGATGATATCTTTTTGAGCCTTCAGGGTTACGGAGACCGTTAACACTTCGCTTAAAGGGGCCGGGCAGTGCAAATCGCCACGGGCGGTTCCCCTGGTCCCCTGGGAGCGGTTCCCCCAGTCCCCTGGGAGCTTTAGCTTAGCTTTAGCTTGGTTTTTGCCTGGCTTCAGCTTAGCTTCAGCTTAGCTTCAGCTTAGCTTCAGCTTAGCTTCAGCTTCGCTTCAGCTTCGCTTTAGCTTAGCTTCAGCTTTGCTCTAGCTTAGCTTGAGCTTAGCGTTAGCTTAGCCTCAGCTTAGATTTAGCTTAGTGTTAGCTTAGCGTTAGCTTAGCTTAGCGTTACTACTAATGCTGCTGTCCTAGGGGCTCCAACTCCTAGGTAGGGTCGCACTGGGATAATGTTTGAATATGTTTGACCTTTTTGGGGTATGTGTGGGGTATGTTTTATTTTTCGTCGAAAGCCCCCCTGTAGGAAGACACGCCCGACATAAAGCCAGTAACTAGAGTGCGCGATCAGGATGCAGGCCCCTTGGACGCCCATGCCGAGGCTCTTCGAGCGGGGCTGGCCATCGCGAGTGGCTTAGGTCGGCGACGGAGGCGCTACAGACGGGGGAACAACCGATGACATCAACAGAAACGCTCGGAAGCCCGCGCGGGTTTCTCGGATCGGCGCTGGGACCGCCTGGCGGCGCCTCCAGCGCCGCCCCTGGCGCGCTCCGCGCGCCAGGGTCCAGCGCCGATCCGAAGAATCCAAACGAACCTCAGAGCTTCTCTGGCTACTCCAGATTTCGCAATAAAAGGGAGGGGGTCTGGACCCTCCAAGACAAGTCATTTCAGACCTCCCCCGTGGGAGAACCCTCCAAAACATCGTCCCCAGACCCCCCAGGCCCTCCAAGATGGCCTGGAAGAGACACCCCCCGAAATGAGACCCCCCTCTTTTTATTACGAAATCTGGAGCATTTCATGGATTGTTCCCGTGATCCTCCACCGTGCCGCTGGGCACGGGGTGGATGCGCGGTACGGGTGCAGGCCCCGCGAGCGCCGTCGAGGCTGCTCGAGCGGGGCTGGCCGTCGAGTCTGGCTCAGGACGGACCGAGGAGGCGAGGCTGCTGGGGCACCTTTGGGAATCCGCTCGTCCCTGCTATATCTCGGGGATGGACAGACCCCCCTTTAGTAAAACGTGGTTTAGTGAAAACGACCTGAGGCCCAAACCTGGCGGGCGCAAGACTGGAAAATAGCGGCCACGGCGCCCTCTCGAGAACCGAAAACGGACAATTCACTAATCGACGTGTCACTGTTGGGGGTTCTGTCCACACCCGAATCGGCTCCGACTGTGTAGAGGGCGGATTGAGGGCGGGATAAACGCCCAACACACAGCTGCCAGTTCCGATGACTGGCGGCAGAAGAACGATGACCTGCTCGGCGCGCACCCCGCACCACCCCATCACTCCGCGCCACCCCTTCTCGGCGGATGCGCCTTGTTGGCTCGGGCAGGGCCACGACCCGCACATACGACAAGCCGATCTCTGGACTGGGGGGGTCTGGATTTTCACGGGTAGCGGCCTGCCCCGAGTGGGCCTGATTATCCGTGCGTTTGTTTCTTCGGACGGGGGTTCGACACTGATGTGAGGCACCATGGCGCTCACAGAGCCGTGGGCGGATTCTTGAATGATCCTGGATGCTCCCCCCTCCCACTCCCAGACCCCCACCTCTCCCCACACGATCCGCCCCCTTTCGCTCGACGACCTGTCCCGCCCTCTCACCCCCCCGTGCAGTGCGCTCGCAGCCGCGCCTGCCGCCGCTGACGCCACGAGCTGGGCGCGGACGGGCTCGTGGAGTGCCCCCGGGCGGCCCCCCCATTGAGGCTTTGAGGCCAGCGTCTCGCTTGCGACATCCTCATAGTCGGCGCTGACAGCAGAGGAGCCGGGGGCGCCGAAACAGGAGCACCGCCCGAGACATCCCCACGACCCGGGCGCGAACGGGCCCGTGCAGTACCCCCTGGCGGCTCCCCCCTTTGGGTGCTGAAACCAGCGCCTCGCCTGAGACGTCCACACAACCTGCTCTGACAGCTGAGGAGTCGGAGGCGCCGAAACAGGGAAACCGCCTGAGACATCCTCACGACCCGGGGGTGAACGGGCCCATGAAATAACGCCCTCGCGCCCCCCCACTTGCCAGTACTGAAACCAGCGCCTCGCCTGAGCCATCCTGACCATCTGCGCTGATAGCAGAGGAGTCAGGGGCGCCGAAACAGGCAAACCGCCTGAGACATCCTCACAATATTGGCGCGAACGGGACCGTGAAATACCGCCCTGGCGCCCCCCCCCATTCAGGTGCTGATACCAGCGCCTCGCCTGAAACATCCTTACAATCTGCTCCGAAATCAAGCATAGCTGGGCTTGCAAAGAGGCAAAACGCCTGAGACATTCCCACGATCTGGACGCGAACGGGCCGGTGAAATACCCCCCTGGCGCCCCTCTTAAGGTGCTGAAAAAGAGCGCCTCGCTCGAGATATCCTCACAGTCTGTTCCGACAGCACAGGATGCTGTGCATGCAAACAGGCAAACCGCCTGAGAAATCCCCCCAATCTGGGCGCGAATGGGCCCGTGAACTACCTCCCCGGCGCCTCCCTTGGGGTACTGAAGCCGGCGCCTCGTTCGAGACATCCTTACGAACTGCTCTGACAGCAGAGGGTGCTGGGCTTGCAAGCAGGCGAACCGCCTGAGTCATCCCCACAATCTGGGCGCGAGCGGGCCCGTGAAATACCGCTGGCGCCCCCCTTCTGAGGTGCAGCAGCCAGCGGAGCGCCGACAGTGCCGCCTGTGCCCACTCGCCATTGAGTGAAGAGGTGATTGGACGGAGTCTGAGGGAGGAATTGTGAGTGATTCTGACTGAGCGTGAGTCTGAGTATGAGTGAGTCTCAGTATGAGTGAGTCTGAGTGCGAGTGAGTCTGAGTGTGAGTGAGTCTGAGTGCGAGTGAGTCCGAGTATAAGTGAGGCTGAGTGTGAGTGACTCTAAGTGTGAGGGAACGCTCTGCTGTTGGGTCGCGTTCCCCTTCTTGGGCCTCTCTTGGAGCTCTTGGGGCCCTCTCGGGCCGTCTTGGGCGCCTCCAGCACCGTCTTGGGGCCCTCGCGGGCCGTCTTGGGGCCCTCTTGGAGGCCTCTTCCTCTATATCGGAGCGGTATTGAAAGCCTCTTGAGCCGTCTTGGAGCATCGGGATGCCAAAAGGCAGAAAAAATCCCCCGGCCCCCTTGTGGGGCCACCAGGCTGTAGGCGCGAGGTTCGCAGTTTCCTGTACCAGTCGTAGGTTGTAGTTTCCAGTGTTACAGTTCTGCTTCTTGCTGGTTACTGTGCTTCTTGCTGGTTACTGTAACTATTGATTGACCGCGCGAGGGGGGGGGAGGCCCAAACGGGATTTTTAGCACCCCCTGGGCGCGTTGTCTGAATTGCTGGGGGGGCTCGAAATCGACACCCCTCACGCAGATCCGCGGGGTCAGGGTCCAAAAACACATGGGATTTGCCACATTTCTGAAATTCGGTGCCACCCCTCACGCAGATCCGCGGGGTCAGGGTCCAAAAACACAGGGGATTTGCCACATTTCTGAAATTCGGTGCCACCCCTCACGCAGATCCGCGGGGTCAGGGTCCAAAAACACAGGGGATTTGCCACATTTCTGAAATTCGGTGCCACCCCTCACGCAGATCCGCGGGGTCAGGGTCCAAAAACACAGGGATTTGCCACATTTCTGAAATTCGGTGCCACCCCTCACGCAGATCCGCGGGGTCAGGGTCCAAAAACACATGGGATTTGCCACATTTCTGAAATTCGGTGCCACCCCTCACGCAGATCCGCGGGGTCAGGGTCCAAAAACACATGGGATTTGCCACATTTCTGAAATTCGGTGCCACCCCTCACGCAGATCCGCGGGGTCAGGGTCCAAAAACACAGGGGATTTGCCACATTTCTGAAATTCGGTGCCACCCCTCACGCACATCCATCGCAAGGCGTGGTAACCCAAACTGCGAGTACTCCCTCGGCCCTTTAATCCCAAGGTGTGGTAACCAAGCTCGTAAACCATACACGTCTTACCAATCGCCCTGTGTGGTAACCCCTCTTGTGATCAGTTGGTTTTGCCGATTGCGAATCGGCCTCGCATGAAGTTCCGATACTGCTGCACGACAGCGCCAAAGCCTCATGACTTAGCTCTTCCATGGCCCATTCTCCGAGAGAGGGGGCTGGCGGCAGGGGGCGAAGCCCTTACGGATAAAACACGCCAAAGCCCAATCGTAAAACAATGAGTTGTGCCTCTGGGACCACCTTGGGAGATCTCTTGGAACCTCGTCGGCCCTCTTGGGAGCTTCTTGGGGGCCTCTTGGATCCGATTGGGGGCCTCTTGGGACTTCCCGAGAACCTCTCGGGGTAGAAAGCTCGGATTCTCAGTTCGTGTTTCCCTTCTTGGGCCTCTCGTGGGGCCGTCTTGGGACCCTCTCGGGCCTTCTTGGGCACCTCAAGCACCGCCTTGGGGCCCTCGTGGGCCGCCCAGGGCCCTCTTGGAAGCCTCTTCGGCTATCTTGGAGCTGTCTTGGAGGCCTCTTCCTCCTCCTCGTCCCCCTCCTCCTCCCACTCCAGCTCTCTGTCCTCCTGATCTTCCTCCTCCTCCTCCTGCAGCTGTTCCGAAAGGCTCCCGCCGGAACATGCTGTGCACAAGTGCTGTCACTGCTCCCGCCATAGTGCCCTGGGTGGTGGCTCAGAGGCCTCATGGGTGTTGGTTTGGATCTCGTGGTTGGCCTGTCGGGGACGTCGTGAAGGCAGTTTCGCAGCTTCTCGGTAGCCGTTTTGGGACCGTTGTGGGGCCTCCTGGGGGCTGTTTTGTGACTTCTTTAGGCCTCGTTTGGGCCTCCTGGGTGCCTCTTGGGGGCCTCCTGGGGCCTCTTGGGGGCTCCTTGGGGCCTCCTGGGGCACTCTTCGAGCGGGAGGGTCGAATTTTGGAATCGTGGTCCCCCTCTTGGGCGCATCTTGGAGCCGTCTTGGGGCTCCGTTGGGCTGTCTTTGGCGACTCTGGGGCCGTCTTGGGGCCCTCTTCGGCCGTCTTGGGGCGCTCTTGGGGGCCTATTGAGCCGTCTTGGAACGTCGGACAGCCGAAAAGGCTAGACGGCCAAACTCGTTCGAAAACCTTCGTAAAATTTACGATTTCGGTCTCTTGAAGCGCTCTGGAGAGGCGTCTTGAAGCGTCGTGGAGTGCCTTGGGGGGCCTCTCGGGCCGTCTTGGGCCTATCTTGGGCGTCCTGGAGCGGTCTTTCGGCGACTCGGGGCCCGCTTGGGCCGTCTTGGGAGCCTCTGGAGGCCCTCCTGGACTATTTTGGACCTCCCCGGCCGCCCCGTCCTCCCACGGGGGGTCGGAGGCGGCTGCATCCGAGGCCCAGGACGCGAAAACCTGGTAAAAACAAAAGGAAAATGAGCCCCGGTACCCCCATGCCCCATCGGGGCAGCCGCCCTGGGCGCCTGGGCGTCGTGCACGGGTATATATATATATATATATATATATATATATATATATATAGATTCGTGTAAACTTTCAGCGGCCCCGGTCGAGACGCGTCAGCACCGCAGCTGGGCCGTACCGCCGCGCTGGGAGGCCCCTGCCCACGGCGCGCTGGCGGTGCGGGTGCGCACACAGGCCCAATGGGAGGCTCCCCGGGCGCCTGGGCGACGAACACTCGGCCCGTAGCACTAGGATGTGCCATAAGGATGCAAGGGCCGGAGCTATCCTGTCGGACGGCAAAAATGTGTAGAAGCATGAAGTGATCAACCCGTATCATAAGGGCGCGCGATGACGATGCAAAGGCATTGGACGCCCATTTCGAAGCTTCTCGAGCGGGGCGCGGCCAACGAATGTGGCAAAGGATGGAACGACGAGGCAAGGATGCAAGAGTACTCTTGGGTAGGCAAGGATGGGCCGATGAGGCAAGGCAAGGATGCAAGGTCACCCATCCTTACTATGCCGGCTGGCTGTATCTAGCCACTTACATCGGACCCGGCAGGCCTGAGCCAGATCGAATCGCAAAGTCGGCGCAGATCGGGAACCGATCGGATCGTCAGCGAGCCGTCCCGAATCGGATCGAAACATGATGGTCGCGTTTGCCTCCAGCTGAAACCCTGGCCGATGCGGGTGAACCGAGCCGAATCAGATCGAATTGGGCTCGTGGCCGCAAGTGGCGAACCGAATCGCGTCGAATCCCAAGCGCAGATCCGAGATGACCACGCGGACCTCCCACAGTGTATCTTCAGCTAGTTGGTTGTTTTTCTTCGACTCTGGTCACAGAGGATGATCCCTTGGAGACACAGCAGGGCACGAAATGGGCCACGAAATTGCCTGGGAGCCCCAGGCAATTTCGCGCGATCAATTATTTGCGGCACGGGGGATGGACACTCCTGGTAGCCCGCCCAACGGTGTGGGCGTTGGACCACGCCCCCTTCTCATCATTGTCACAATCACGCGAACCGTCGGCACTGCCGTTAGCTGGTCCCTCCCTACCGTTCCCCCGCCGAAGATTCTCGGGGGGGGAAGTGGGGAGGGACCAACCAAGGAGAAGAAAAACATCGACCTGGAGTCAGACACGTCACAGATGGACCCCCGACGGCGAAACCGCGCGGCCCTGGGCGCTCGGGCTGCCAGCGGGCCCCCCTCGGGGATCAGTAGGCGACCGGGGGCCGAGGCATCCTCCCAGAGCCTGTCCCCCTGACGTCACCCCTGGGACCCACCGCGCCGTCGCGCCCTCGCACCGCCCCCTGAGCCTGCCCCCTCCCACTCCTCCCCCTCCTCCCCCTCCTCCCCCTCCTCCCCCTCCTCCTCCTCCTTCCTCCCTCCTCCCCCTCCTCCCACCCCCCCCCTGAGACCCATCGCGCCTTCGCGCCCTCGCACGGCCCCCTTGGAGACGGGCCGCCGCTCTGGCCCGGACCGCGACGCGCGAAGCGCGCTTGCCTCCGCGCTCCCACCGGTGGTCCCAGGCCTGGCTGCTCGCACAAGGGGGGGCACAAAGGCACCGCTACCCACCACTCCTGCCTTGACCCCTCCCGGGGCGCAGTCTCACTCAGCCGTGGCGACGAGGGCTCTCCAGGACTCCAGGGCTGCCTCTCCCTCCTCTGCACTCGCCATCGCTCGGACGCCCCTTCCCCGTGCATGTTCGGTTTGCGCGCGCATGTTGCGCAAGATGGTCGGGGATGCCCCTCGATGGTCCTCGCCGAGGGAACGTGCACACGTCCGAGCGATGCCAAGGGAATGTATTGCTTCTTCCCCGACTCCCGACTCCCAGCCGACGCCGTGCCTGTACTGCGTCACCGGCTCCCAGCGGCCCCGGCCGCCGCCGACGTACACGAGCGCCCCGTTCTCCGCGGCACGAGGGGACGAGAAAAGGAACATCGAGGGCACGACGCGAGGATCGAGGGTTGAAGATCGAGGATCGAGGGTCGAGGATCCCGGACCCCATCCGCGTCGGCTCGCCAGTCTTCGTCGTGTGGGGGGCCCTTACTGGGCCTCGGGATCGCTAAAAAAAACTACTCGGGATGTGGGGGCCTCCTGGCGCGCCCTCGTCGCCACGGCTGGGTCCCCCTCGGAGTGCTGGCCAGAGCGGGGGATCAGTCTGAGGGAGGACGACTCCCTCAGAATCGAGGTTCGAGGTGTTCGGGCGTTTTCTTTGGCCCTCGGCGGTTCGTCAGCCTAGGGGTGCCTTCTAGCGGCTGCGCCTCGCCGAGAGGCGTCTAGGGGCAGGAGAGCCCAGAATCCAACCGATAAGTCGGATCGGCGATCGAAGTGGATCGGATCGGCGGAAATCGGCGGCCGAGGTGGGAAAAGCCGAATCGGCGGAAATCGGCAGACCAGTGAGGCCTCCACCGAGAAATCGGGAGCCCGCATCGGCATCCGAGGCCGAATCGAATCGAGATCGGCCTCCATCGAAATCGAAGCGGATCGAGTCGGGGGAATCGAAATTGAAGGGGCCCCAGGACACACAAATAAATACACACAAATAAAAACATTCCCCATACTTTTCCAGATGCTCTGGGTTTTTGCCTTCCCCCCCACTTCCCATAGTTTCCCAGATCTTCCTGGGAATCGGCGATTCCTTGTGTCTGTGTGGGTTTTTCCCCCTCCCGAGAAAGGAGCCCCGGAAGGGGGGGGCCCAGGTCGCCCCGAGCGGCCGCCCGAGGCACCGCCCCGTGAACGGCCGCCCGAGGCCCGAGCGCTCGGGCCCGAACATACAAAGACCGAGCGACGGCGGACGTGTTGCCGGGAGACCTCGGGCAGCACCCGGCCCCGGGGGCACCGGCGCCCTGCGCCCAGGGGGCACTCTGGGCCAGGGACTTTTTTTTCTGGACGCCCGAAATGGGTACGGAAAGGATGGGTACAGGGCAGTTTTCAATATATAGGATTTTAATACATGATTAATTTATGAATAAATGAATGCACAAACTCATCCTTGTGTTTATCAATCAACCCTGTATGTTTAATACATGGTCCGCACGCGGAGCATGTATTAAAAACGGCACTGTCCAATGCCCAAAAACAAATGTCGCCCCAAACCAACAGCGGCCGCTGTTGGGCAGGCGGCCTCCTGTCTCGAATGGACACAGGCCGCGGCGGCGCGGACAGCGAGTCCTGTTCAAAATGAACAGGAACTGCTTTTGGGCATCGTACCCATTCTTTCCGTACCCATTTCGTTCGTGCAGGGGCTTGGCGTCCCTGGCCGAGGGCGTTCCTGGCGCCAAACACCAGGGGTCTCTAATTCGTGGCGGCGAGCGAGGGGAGGGAGGGTGAGAAGAGGAAGGCCTTCTCAGGAGGCGGCGGGACTTCTCAGAAGCCCTCGCGCCTTCTGAGAAGTTTGCTTGTCTTCGGGGAAGGCTTAGAAAACTTCGCAGAAGGCCGGGGGACTTCCGAACCTTCTGAGAAGGCCTGTTCCTTCTAACTTCCCCCCTCGCTCGCCGCCAGATTTTGGGAACCCCCTCTCCCCAGACACCCGGTGGCTCGAGAAGTCGGGGGTTGCCAAAAAGGTGCCCCTGGCCTGTGTGCCCCCAGCTCGTCGCTCCATCTTGGAGCCCAATGGGGCCCTCGGGGACTCGCGCAGGGTGCCCGGGAGGCCGTGGGGGGCCCCAGTGGAACTCCTGCGAGAGACCCCAAGAAGCATCCTTGAGGACTCTGGCCCACGTGCCGTGGGGGGGCCTCCTTGGAAATCCTGCAGGAGACCCCAAGAAGCATCCCTGAAGACTCTGGCTCACGTGAGCGTTCGCCGTCGTCGCCGGCGCCGCCGGCGACGTCGTCGTCGTCGTGTCGCCGTCCCCTTTCAGGGTGGGCGGCACCGGCCGCGAGGCCTTCGCCATCCTAGGGGGCACCGTTTGAGCAGGGACCGACCGTCCCGGCATTCCTATAATAAACTCGATGTGTTAAAACAAGACAGTCCCAGCCAGAAATGTTCTAAGAACATTTCGTGGGAACCACAAAAAGTTCTTAGAATATTGCTTGGTAGGGTTATAGGCAAGCCCGGACGCTTCGCCACTGCTTGAATCCTGGGGGGCACCGTGGGCCATGGACACTTCCAGCAGCACCCTGAAGAGGCCGGCGCGGCCGCGCTGTCGCAAAGTTGGAGGCCCCCCTGGAGGTGGCGGGCCTCGCTCCCCCCCCCCCGGGGCCGGCAGGGGCAGCGGCCCAAGAAGAAAAGGGCAGGCTGAAGTCGGGGCTGTCCCCCTACACGGTGAGTTTCGACGAAGAATAAAAAAATGCCCCAAAAATAATCAAACAATAGGCCAACAATGTCTGGGGACTATTTTTGGAATATGTTTGACCTTTTGGGGGTATTGTTGGGGTATGTTTTATTTTTCATCGAAAATCCCCCTGTAGGGGGGCACGCCCGACAGAAGGGCAGGCCCTGGGGGGGAGGTCTCGAGAAGTGCAGGATCCAGGGGCCCGCCGATAGCGAGAGCAGCAAGGCGCCGGGTGCAACAGGGGAAACAAAAAACGGAAGGGGAGGGACAAGGATGGAGCACGAGACAAGTTAGCAGGAGGCGAGCTAGGAGTAGAAATCACGTGGCAGAACCGGACGGGCAAATACGGCAGGCAGATTCTAGCGGGCGGGTCGGAAAGGCGGGCCCAGGCGGCCAGGTCGACTCTTGCGCGATCTCGAGCGATAGCGCGATTCCTGGTAAATCGTCAGAAAAGCTAGATCGAGAGCGTGATTCCTGAGTGTCGAGGGCGCGGCGCCTGAATGAATTGCGACGAAGTCCCACGCGAGAATTCGAACCCTGCATACATTGTGAGGAAATCCCGCGAGAGAACGCGATTTTGGAATAGATTGTGAGTGAGGACGAATCAAACGGGAACCGTTGTTGTAGTTTAGGGCCCAACGAGGGGGTGCGAGCCCCGAGGGGGGCACTTCAATGGAAAAAACAACATGTACACCCGTGGGAGGGTATCAACAACAGTTGTTCCTCCAGAGTGAGATTTCAACCAACAACCACAACAACAGCAACAACAACGACAACGCAACAACAACAACAACAACAACAACAACAACAACAACAACAACAACAACAACATTAACAACAACAACAACAACAACAAAAACAACGACGACGACGACGACAAGGCCAACACTCACACTGCGGTCCTGGCCCACGGCGCGCCTGCTCACGCCTTTCCCTTAAGGCGAATCCCTGTACTGACGGCATGTGGACCCGCGAACGGACACCGACACCGACACCGACAGTGCCTCGGAAACCCGATGGGACTCCCACGGATGAGAGAATTCTGAAGAACGGAGCAGTACGGCTATCTTTCGGAATTTGTAAACGCTGACACGTGCACGCGCGGGCAAATCAAGGTTTTGATTGGCATTTTGTCGCAGCATGGATGCTGACGATGACTGGCGGATTCCTTCATCAGGCTCCCTTACTGGGGATGCACGCAAAGGGTTCCCAACTGGGAATTCCCGACAGAAAAGATTCCTGACTGGGAAAGCCTACGCATGATTCCCGATGGGGAATTCCCACCTACACAGGATTCGTTACTGGGGATGCCGACGAAGGATTTTCCCTACAGAAGCTGCCTTATTGCGGGTACCCTACTAAGGATTCCTGCTTGAGCACTTCGACATAGGAATCCCGACTAAGTGTTCTGGAGTAAGAATCCCTACCAAGGGTTCCTCACATAGGATACTGCACCAAGGATATCCCAATAAAAAATGATCTCCATACGAAAGCCCCCAGACTAGTTTCCCTTCGGCCCCCCAAGCCCTTAGGAGCCCCTAGAAATCCGAAAAGGATCCTCGGGAACGACTAGGAATCCGCAGGAATCCTTCAGAATCCTTCGGAATCCAAAAGGATCCTGGGGAATCCTCCGGAATCCCGATTGAGGCTTCGTCAGCATCCTTGGGGATCCTGCAGAGTCCGTAGGAACCCTTACGAGTCACAGTCGTACCACCAATAATCGCAGTAGTAGGTAGTAGTAGTAGTAGAAGTAGTTGTAGTTGTAGTACTAGTAGCAGTAGTAGTAGCAGTAGCAGTAGTGGTAGTAGTAGTAGTAGTAGCAGCAGTAGTAGTAGTAGTAGTAGTAGTAGTAGTAGTAGCAGTAGTAGTAGTAGTAGTAGTAGTCGTAGTAGTAGTAGTGGCAGTAGTAGTAGTATGAGCAGTGATAGTAGCAGAAGAAGAAGTAGTAGTAATAGTGGTAGTAGTAGTGTTAGTAGTGGTAGCAGTCGTAGAAGTAGCAGAAAAAAAGAACAGCAGCAGTAGCAATAGAAGTAACATTCGTAGAAGCATGAACAGATGTAGAAGCAGCATTAGTAGTAGTAGTAGTAGTAGTAGTGGTGGTGGTAGAAGTAATAGTGGTAGAAGTATCAGTAATCGTGGTCGTAACAGTAGCAGTAGTAGTAGTAGTAGTAATGCTACCAGTCGGACCAGTAGTAGTAGTAGTAGTAGTAGTAGTAGCAGTAGTAGTAGTAGTAGTAGTAGTGGTGGTAGTAGCAGTAGTAGTAGTAGTGATAGTAGTGGTAGTAGTAGTAGTAGTAGTAGTAGTAGTAGTAGGAGTAGTCGTAGTAGCCGTCGTACGAGTAGTAGACGTAGTCGTAATAGTAGTAGTTGTAATAGTAGTCGTAGTAGTAGTAGTAGTAGCAGTAGTAGTAGTAGTAGTAGTAGTAGTAGTAATACTAGTAGTAGTAGTATTAGTAGTAGTCGCCGTAAAAGTAGTAAGATGTGAATCTCATCAGTAGTAGACGTCGCAATGTTAGAAGTAATCGTAATCGAAATACGTTTACCAACCGTGGCTGTAGTAGTAGTAGTAGTTGAAGCAGTAGTAGTTGTTGTAATCGCAATCGCGGCAGCAGTAACCTTAGCGATAGTAGTAGT